CCTAGAGGACAGAGGGAGGATGACCTACAACTGAATATACCATTTAGTGAAATTATAGCCACCTGCGTAGGTGCTAATGGCATCTAGTCAGGCCCAAGGAACACTAACACCTACTAGGCTGGGCAGCACAGACAATTGTCCAAGGACAGGGAGGCCAAAACTTCTCCCTGATGTAATTAATGTCTAAAAAGTACTGGGAGAGGAAGGGAGAGAAAAAGAACGTTTTGATCTGAGCAATTCCCAAAGATGGATCTGAGCTCAATGAGAAAATACAGGTCTGATACGACAGACTGTTCTCTGGAATAAATCCTGCAGATGCAAGATGGCATTAAAGAACAGATTTCTACCAGGCTGAAATGGAGTAGCTGACAGTTTCACAGACCTTAACATGTTGAGCTGTGCTAACCAAGGGATAAAGAAAGTGCACTGCACTCAGCTGGCAGGCAAGGCTGGAATCTGATATGGCCGTGGTCTATATGGTAGAGAAATTAGCCAGGAACTCAGCACTTGAAATTCACTTATCCCAGGAAAACATGTAACACCGTTTAACTAGCATAACCAATTTGCTTCAAAGCTGACGATGCCTAGAAAGTTATGGAGGAAGTTTTGAACTTTAAGTTTGGAAAGCTTTTCTTTAAATCTAACCGTTTCTTCAGAAGCTTTATACACGCTGTCCAAAAGCAAGTTCATAGATTAATTAGGGAAGCATGATCTCTCTTTACTAACAGCCGAAAGATGACAAACCATCACTTTCATCATGGCATGTTATTACCATCAACAGATCAGCTGAAAAAACTTCAGCCACCCTACCCTCAAGATCCAGTCATAGCATGTCAAGAGGAAATTCTTCAGTAATTTAAGACCAGATGTACTGGGCTTCACCTGGGTTTTCAGATTTTTTTAATGTTGATATTGACTGTGTGTACATGCTATGGTGTCTCATAACAAATAGTTCCTGATATTTAATGAACTTAGGAGGTTCATCTGATGAGAAAGTATCTGGCTACCTATCCATTTCATTGAGCTTTGTCTGGATCCCAGTAAAAGCATTACTGAACAAAAAATTGCACATTTGTTTAGATTGAGAATTCAGTTCTTTCCACTAGAAGGACATTTTTCCTATTTAATGTTCAATATGATAAAAGAATTATATAACCACAAGGAACAAACAACATATACTTGAGTATATAATTCATGGATTAGGAATTATACATTAAATTATCTAAACTTGGGTGTGGAAAAAGAAGAAAAAATTAATAAATTTACTTGGTGTTACAGTTATTCATTAAAGCATTGAAATATATTTTACACAGCTTCTGGACATACAGTTTGTCAGCAGCAATTAGAGACTGATGGATAGCTGCTGCAATACAGATCAATAGTACACAACTCCATGCCACAAGATATCCTGAAAATTCCTCCTAAAAACTCTGGAAGATGCTGGAGTGATAGAACAAGAAAATATGCATACTACCATGCAGATGTCAGTTCCAGGTACCCATTCAAATATAATGAAATTTCAGTAAATGTTACCTTTCTAGTACAAGACAGCATATCAATTCCTTTTCACAATAGCCAAGCTTTAGTTACTTGAAGCAAAGATTTTCTAACTCCAGCCCAACAGCTTGTTTTTTTTATCCTGCTTATAGACCAGACACTCGTTAACCTCTCAGATCTCTGGAGAGTTGTGGTTTAAGGGAACCCAGGAGGAAAAGACAAATTTGGAAAGCCATTTATCCATCTCACTAGAATTGAGACATTATGGTTTTCGTTCTTCCCCCACTCCCCAAAATACCAAATTTCCATCATCAGAGCTCTCTGAATAAACGAACATTTTGTTACTGGACTCAGGAAGAAAGAAACCACATGCCTGTTAGGGACAGAGAGAGGAGGAGTGGAGTATGTGCTTGGGAGCGTGTTTATTTGACTGGATTGCAGACGGTCAACCGAAGAACATGCAGATCATATATTTTTAAGCATTTCATAATGTCTTATTATTAATTCCAGCCAAAACCACCAAGACCAAAATTATCTGAAATTGGTGCTTGTGTGTCCTGACCCCAAAGCCAACAATGGTTTAATAAAAAAAAAAAAAAAAAAAAAAAATCTACGTTCCTCTCAGGTTTAATTTCTTTTTTTAATCGATTAGAAGGCAGTGCCCCTTAGAGTCTATGGAGAAGACAGGTCTCCATAACTAACAAATTGAAATGTGGTCCTGGGTAAATTTTACTTCCAGGAAACCAAAACGTTGCAGTCCTTGAGAGAGGGAGTCTACAAGCAGAGGGCTCTTCTAAAGGAAGGAGTTTTTATTGAACCTGTCACTTGTCATTAAACACTCCATATTTTACCTTAGCCTGATATTTTCATTAGAGCATACAGACCTTTTTCATCTGTGAATGAAAGCATTCCCTTCAGCCTTGTGTTGAATATGGGGAAAGACTCTCTAAAATTGAGCCCACCCAAACAGGACAATTAGGTTCACAAAAGCAGGAAAGGCACTAGGGAAAATCAAGTAATATTAATACTATGATAACTTACACATTTCATTGCTGACTATCACATCCCACTTCAATGTTAAATTCTTATATGCATTTAATAACGTCTATTTTTAATCTCAGAAATACTTGCATATAATTATATAGAAAGCAAGTAACACCAGTGCAAAATAAAACACAACATAAGCAAAGTGGGAAAAAGTATGTACTGCTGTATAGACATCTCTTAATTGGAAAACCTGAATGTAAAAATGTAAAGATAATAAAATTATACACTTTGACACCTTTGTTCCCAATTTTAGCTTCCCTATTAGACCACCAACCTACAACAAAGTAACACTGGAAAAAAAGAGAAAAATATTAAACAACTTGTCTTCCTCAAAAGAGACAATTGGTTACTTGCCTCTTGTTCCTAGAAATAAGTTGCTTACTTCGAAATTAAAAGAGGAAATATTTAGAGTAAAATTATGTTAACTATGCTATGCATAGTTTTATATTTATGATCTCTCTACTGCTAAAACACTTTGTAAGTAAAAAATTGGATAGTACCTTGCAAGGACAGCTATACATTCTTAAACAACTCTGATACAAAGCAGCACCATTTTTTGCCACCTAATTTATGTAGTATCAGAAACTGGTGTTAAATAGTTTTAACAGGACTTAAATGATCAGTAACCAGAATATTACTGTCTGTCCATTGCTATTTGTAGTTGCACAAACACATTACATAACTTACTGTTTCTAAAAAAAAAAAAAAAAAAAAAGAAAAAAAAAGCATTTTTAGTATGCAAATAGGAGCTGAGAAAAAGCAAATTTCAGGCTTTTTCCAATGCATTCCATTTGTGTAAAAGAAAGAAAAACGAAAAGGGAAAGAATAATTGTGGGGAAAAAAGCCAGAACAGAAAGCCACACCTCTTAAAATCTGAAAGTGCTACATCAAAACAAAAAAGATGATCTTGTGGAATGGTATCATTTGATAAACACACCACACACATAATTGCAAGGCAAATGTCAAGTACCACTTATCTTTTCAAACTTAAAACACAGATTTACTCAAATGCAGATTACAAATCTAACCAAATATTGTATTAGTTTTAGGAATTTTTAAAGACATTTCACTAACACAAGGAGGATTGTGTTATTTAAACTTAAGCTGCCACATAACGAGGGCCTTGTGGATTGCCATAGCATCACAGCCACAAAACCCATTAGCAGATGTAGAAATCCCACATCCCAGCCTTTTATAAAAGTCTGCAGTTATGAAATAATTTTCATACACTTGGAACTTAACTATTTCAGTGCCCTGCACATACAGGACTGGAATTGATGGGGAAAACCACAAAATGGTGCATCTGAGAGCATTCCATGGACACATGTTTCTGTGGTTCTTTCAAAAGTTCTTAAAGAGTTAAACCATCCCCCTAGAATTCCACAGAAAAGAGTAAAGAAGTATCTGTTTAAATTAAGGAGGAGATTTATCTTTGCTAGTGAACTATTAGGATTTATTCTGTCTTCATTGTAGATGTATTAAGATACATAGCTGGTTACAAGAAACATGATTTAACCTAGGATAACAAAGGACAACACCTATGAGAAGGCTTGCTCTCTAAAGATTTAAAAAATAATTTTGAAAGCTCTCAAGGGTAGATTACTGTTTCCATGTTTATTTTCACTCACCAAAAGGAAAGTTATTTTTGTAAATTAAAGAAATCACAGGCAAAATACCTATTATCTCCTCACCTAGCATCATGGTGCCTTGGCTTTATTTCATGGCAATAGTTTAACATTTTTATGGCAGCACCTGAAAACTTACTGTCTGATAAACCATCTACAGCTAATATCAACATATAGCACAGTGAGAAATATTTGACTTGTTTTCATACTGGTGACTTTCATGTGCCTAGGTAGATTTGAGGTAACTAGATAATTCTGCGGGGCAGCAGCACGTTATCATTTCAGAAATAAAGCAAACTGACTAGTAAGCATACCAAGAACTCATGAAGTAGAGTAGGATTTCACTGTGAAACAAGGATGAGTAAACACAGAAAACACAGTCCTCCAGTTACCTCACAATAATTGCAATTTACCATAAGAATACTTACTTGGTTATCTTTCATTTACTGAAGAAAAGGCACCAATATAAGGCAAAGCCAGCTGGGAAAATACACAAAACAGCTAAAGAAAAAGGCTGTTAGAAAAGCAGCGAAGAAAGAAGTGCCCCACCAATCTCAACACTGAAATGACAAAATGATTTCAATGATGCACTTCATAACTGAGTTGACAGTTAAAACTGTTTTTCCCTTTTATGAAAATGGGGTAAGCTACAAAGTCAACTGAGAGAGGCTGCTTGCTTTGAAGTGCTCTGGGATAGATGTGCCCTTTTAAACAATCAGTAACAAATTTCTTAGGTAACAGCTATGAAAATGGATTGGGGGGTACAGCGGAGAGCGAGGTAGCTAAGCCTGGCTGATTGGCCACATGGCTTTAATTCAATTCCCATGTTACCTGAAGCTGTTGGGAGCTGTCATTAAGATTATCCTCTCGTCTCCTGGCCTCCTCCAGCATCTGTGCACTCTTCTTTTTCTCCACTTGCTCTTTGTGCTTCAGATTTGCTACTTTCTTATTTTGATCTTTAACTTGCCTGTAAAAGAGAAGAGCACTCAGAGCGTGGTCCAGAGCACGCTTCCCATCAGCTCCAGCACTGGGCAGCTGGACTGGGGAAGAGTGGAACCCTCAAGTACCATCACTTTGTTTGCAGAAGGTCACCAACACCGAACTCATCCTCAAGTGTTACCCTCAGCTGCTAATTCAGCCAAAAGGATGCTTCATTTTGCTCATTACCATTAACCTAAATGTGGAAATTTCTGAAAGAAAAACCTTAATTATTATTTGGTATAAACTACTAATCAAAAGATGCACCTGCCCTCTTGTGACTATGTGGTATGTGCTACGTAGAAATCTTTTCACTGTTCATACACACATGTACATATAAAAAATGCAGACATTTAATAGCCTATTTTGCTTTGGGTACCATTATATCTAATGTAAGGAAAATAGGAGGATCAAAAGGAAAAACTAATGAAACATGACTTGAATATAGAGGACTACCTACAAGATCTAGGCAATCTGTTTCCAGAAGTAAAACTATTTCTTTTCAACCTCAAGTTCTACTTGTTTACTAGATATTTTGAGGGATTTCCTATCCTTTCTTTTTACAGAAACAAGACAGAGCAAGTAAGAACAAACTATTTCAGAAAGCGTGCATAATTTCCTTTTCACTTGCATCTATGAATTATTTTTGATGAACCTGGCAACTACCATTGCCTGCAGACAGGGTTTGGCCTTTCTGGGCATTAAGACACATGGAGTATTGAATCTAATTACAGACCCTTTAATCTCGGCCTCCAGACCACAGAGAACTTAAGTCTAAACTTTTAGTCCAAACAAAACAAAACAGGCTAGCTTTGCTTCCTCAGCCCTTTTCTCCATAATTATATCTGGAGTTTGGATTTTGGAATAAAAGACAGATTCTTCAGTTGCAAGATTTCCCCAAAACATCATGCAAGTAGTAGAGACAGCTCTCTAATTTACTGTTTAGAAAGCAGAATGATATACTAGTTTCCTATCTGGTATGTTATCCACACAGAGAGGGAAGAATGTTTCTTCTGTATTTCAGAAATACTTTTAGAACAGATCACAAACAACTCTGATTGCTTTAATATTTTCTTCAGAACTCATAACAAATGTATGATCAAGAACATATTTCTTTGCGATATATGTGTTCAAATTACGTGGCATATGACTAGTCAATGCTTAGAGTTCTTCCAAAACAATGTAGGTTCAACACTGAGCTCTGCTTTTTGCAATGTAAGCCAACTGGAGCTGGGAAAATTGCAAAGACAGCAAATTTTCCTTGGTGCTAAACAAACTTCTATTAGTGTGAAAAAGTGCTGATGGCCTCCAAAGACCAAGGGAAAAAAAGAAAGTCCTTTTCTGATGATGTTAAAAAATTATTGGCATACTTAACTGCCTTGTCCAACAGTTACAGCTGATTTGAGTCAGGATGCTTTTTAAACACAACCAATGTAATTGTTAAGTTGTTCTAACCCAGTGCTGCACACTGGCAATGGGCGCATTGCCCAGTTTGAAAGCAGACTTCTTCAGTGATTAAACAACTTATTGGAAATATTATGTTGGCACCAACTCAGCTTGTACAATACACTGTTCTATCTGTCCAGTAAAACAAACATAGAAAGTACAGCTAAGTTAATGCAGAAAATTAAAATATATAAGCCCAACACATTCAATTCCACATGAGAATTCTTATTCAACTTCTAAATTAAAATTAGGGGAATTAATTATTTTTTATAAACTTGCAAACCTAGATTCACCTGTTGGGAAACTGGTCTGTGTAACTGTAACCTACTGGTTAGATAAGAGACAACAATATTAATAAAGCGACAACCCTCATCAAAATATGTCTGAAGTAGATCATCTCCCCCATGGTCCAAAACGTCTTCAAACAAAATGCGTATTTCAAAGAAAGGAGTAATTATAAGGATATATACTATTGACATCCACCTTATGTCTGAACCAAAATTCACGTCTTTCTAATGTATTAGGTAGATATTCTGAGACAAACTCAAGCTTTCCTAAAGCAGGTTAGAAGATGGAAGTCTTGAAATTACCTAGTGCTTGTAATACTCAGATCAATCCTCATAACTGTCATACTGTTTGGAAACTTGAATTCATGTGCAGGATACAACTATCACTCTGTACCTTTGATGTCAAAAAGCAACAAAAGTTGGGCAATAAACCTTCCAAATGATCCAGGTATCTATGGCACTGCCTAAAATTTCCCCAACTGTTTAACTATATAAACTGAGAAGGTCACGTGAAACTTGAAATCTCTAAATATAAAAGGCTTGCAGCCATTTGACTCATGAAAATACATCTCATCTCAATGCGTATGGTACCAAATGATAATTCTCATTTTTACAGTAGTTCATGCAGATAATTGTGTAAAAGGTTTAGCATATACAAGCCCAGAGCCCTTTAACATTTGCACCATTAAAGTTCTGTGAAACTGTAAAGAATCCATACTGCGATTCTGTAAAGAATCCTCTTTCTTCTGTCAGATAACTTTCAGTCTTCAAAGCCAAAGTCAGAGAATCACGTTTTTATATACATAAACAATATTCAAAAAATATTTAAAAATACACATACATTTTTAATATCAATAGACCTTAAAAGCTTAATAGGAATCACCCAAATCACTGCTCAATAAGACAGTTCTGTTGCTATTATGAACACTGAAATACTACTGATGATTGTTCATTTTGTAAACTTAATGTTCTTCTAACTCTTGAATACAATTAGACACATATATAGCACATAACCCTGTCAAAGGGATAGTAAGGTTTTAAAGAAATCCTTCATCTGTAAGAGTATTTTTATTAAAACTGAAAAAACTGCACAAGATTAAAGATAGCAAAAAGAGAATGAATTAATTACAATGATGGCAACAGCTTCAAGATTTATGAGTGTTTTCTAGAAAACATTAGTGTTAGCATGTACAGCAACTGAGTAAACACCAATTTGCAATGTGCACATGGAATTCTCATAAAATAAAGAGCACATGAATTTCTGAGAGATACAGAACATTAAATACTACTATAAGTACATCTTCCTGCTGAAACATCTTTTTTAAATGGGACTACAGAGAGAGATTATTCAGAGAGAGAAAGAATGCTGGTGATTCTAATAAAAATTGAAGAGCCAGTCCATGTTCAATGAGATAAAGCTTTAAAGGATATCACTGGAACCAACAGAAACAATAATAAAACTAACAAAAGCAAAACTACCTCATCTAAGAAGACATTTATTCTCAGAGTCACCCTCAAATCAAATAATAAAAAATGTTCTGGTCACATATAAAATAAGAAAAATGTAATGAGAATGTTTATTATGTTGAATTACAGTGAGGAATCCCACTCATTTTGGAAATAACAATTTCTTTTGCATTTTTTAATAGCAATTTTCAGATAATTACTTTTTTTGAGGTACAGCTCCTAAAAAATTTAGCACTCAAAAGTGAAAAATCTTTTCCATTGCTTAGAATCTTTCTCCATTTCACTATGTCATGCCAAGTACTGTTACAATGGAATATATTAGAGAAAAGGAAATAGAATCCAAAATAAAACCCAAAGTCTTTCAGCTAAAGACGGGCCAAGATTTTCAGAATTAATCATTTCACATCCTTTGATTTTGGGTGCCCAATTTAAGCCATAAGCCTGCTGAAAACACCCCATAGTATTTCTCAATCTGGACACCGAAAATAACTATTAATTTCTATGACTTTATCCTTTTTTTTTAATGAAACAAAGCTTCATCACTTAAAAAAAGCCCCACCTTTCCACTTCTCTATGAAATTCTTGAATTTCCAGTGATGAGGTACAGCTGAACACCATGGGGAATGAATTAAAATAATCACAATGCACAATAAAAACATTCAAATGAGAAGATTTCATATAAGCAATAGAAAACCAGTGGACCTTCAAGTATTCCTGAAAAGTGGAAAGTCACTTTGTTACCTGTGAGTCCTTTGGAAGAGCTTTCCTTCCTAATAAGACTAATTGCTTTACAGGCCCTATTATTTTTTAAGGCTTTTATGAAATTACTTTTTTCTGTACTAACTTGAATTAGTTGGATTAGAATTAAAATTGCATTTTAATACTACTCTCATTATCTTCTACTGTAATGCACATCAGCATATATAGCTGTTAATTCTTTCCTCATATGGATTTTCATGCTACATATTAATGTAACACAAGCTATTATTCTCATCTGGTTATCTTTTCTGGCATAATTTCAGATGATGTTCTTGTAAAATAAAAGGTGACAAAATGTTAACTGAAAATTTGCATAAGTTAATTTGAATTTATAATTATATTTTAATATATTTTTCCATCACAGTTATGCACCTAACACACAACAGTGTTTTTATGAGTATACATTTAGAATGCATTCGAACCACCACAGAAGCTTACCTTCAAGATAAAATGTATACACCCATGCTATATTTCCTAATGAATACACGCACTAGGAAAAAATATCTTGTGCACAGCTATAGAAACAGGCTGTTTTATTCATCTGACTTAGGTACTCAGAAAATATTTCTATGTGTCAGTCAGCCACGTCAGAAAGATTGTTTAGCTCGAGCCTTCATTGATGTAGCATTACCACCACCCACAGGACAGTCCACTGTTGCTGCAGCTACTAATCCTGATGGACAGATGAACTTCATTTGCTTTAAAGCACACTTTGCTCCTCAACCGAAGTTAAACTGATGCAATAGTCAACATTACTGAAAAAAAATGCAAAGAAAACTGTATGCAATGAAGTAATATATTATTTATTTTAAAATTGCCAATGTGCCTTGTATTATGAAATATTAGATTCTACAATGTATAATATAGAATCATAGAATATCTCAAGTTGGAAGGGATCCATAAGGATCATCAAGTTCAACTCCCTGCTCCTCGCAGGACTACCTAAAACTAAATCATATGACTAAGAGCATCGTCTAGATCCTCCTTGAACTGACAGGCTTAGTGCCGTGACCACTTCCCTGGGGAGCCT